AAAATGTTCCTCAAGTAAAAGTCGAAAAGTATTCTCATCAAAATATAGTGAAAGTAGCGACAGTAAAAGTAGTCGTTGTGCAGATTGGTCCATTTCAGAATAATATATATGATATGTTTTATAATGATTGATCATGAAAGTGTTCTCAAAGCTGGTAAAGGTGCAGCTAGTTTGAATGACTTTGTATACTGCAGGGTAGCTGGTGGATTTACTCCAGGTGGAACTAAAGTCTGATTCAACACTTGATTAGATTTCACATCATTCATCTGTGAAGTAACTGAAGGTATTAAATACATGTAGTGGAGTCAAAGTACACCATGTACTTCTGACTTATGTTTACTGCCAACCTAAAAGTACCTCAAAAATAGTAATCAATAATGTATTGAAAAGTTATTTGGCTGATTGTTTTATATTGGCTCAGACAGGTTATATGGGAGGCCCAGTCTACGTACAGATCACTCATTTTGAAATATTAAACTTACTTTTATTTTCTTTAATTGTTCATCCTCGTGTAGAAGGCTATCACGAAACACACATTTGGTTGTTTATAGCATAAAGAACATCTGATTTAATGTGAGGTAGGGAAATAATCATTTGAGTATGTGTATATAAATATGTAATTTACAACAGCTGTAAGATGCTTGAAAAGCTGGAAAATGCACCTTGAACATGCTTGAAAAGTGCTTGAATTTGACTTTGGAAAAGGTGTAAGAACCCTGTATATATAAATATATATATTATACTGCACTTTCATCACGATATTTTTAAGTGACTTAGTGTATCTTCTCATTTGAAATAGCATTGTCAACATACTGTAGAACTACATATTCCAAACAGTTGAAAAAAAGTAATACTTTTTGCTGTGTTTCTGTTTTACAGTGGGGCGAAGTGGAAACATTCCTGGGAGCCAAAGGAAAACTTTCCTAATTAAATATGCCTGACTTTTGTTTTTCTACATTGGAGTAATAAAATACATATTAAAAAAAACATCTATGTAAGTGCCGTGCCTATTTGTGTTCTTATGTTATCAGTGAGCTGAAGCCAAGACAAATACAAATATGTTTTAAGTGTATCCATACAAACTCATTCTCTAAAACTGTCATGTTTGGTCTGTTGAATGACACCCATGAGGAAAAAGGTCCTATACATTATATCACATCGGCAGGGCTGTGATGTGATGAGGCCCTCGCGAGCGTCGACTGGGGGTGGTGGTGGTTTGTAAACCCCGGACACACCAAGCCGATTACAGCTAGTGGAGCCTCGCAGCAGAAACTGTGGCGCACTCAATTGCGCCGCATTTGCGCATCAGATGAGGCTCCCTCCACAAGATGAGGGCGAGAGGCAGACGCAGTCTGTGTGATCGGCGTGTAGGGAGGAGCGGGCCTGCACATCGGCATATCACAGACTGGTGCATACATTGTACAGGCGGCAATTTGAATTGGAATGCAGCCCACTCACGGCAGACAAACCCAAACACTTTTGGAACACGCCACCTCCAGACGCATTAACATGCACTCCCCTAACTTTCCCCTAATCTGACATTGTATTTCATTCCATAACATCTTATCAACAGAGAAAATGAAGGGTAATCAAATAATAAAACATGTCACTCATATCACTTTCTTTCTTACTGTACTTGTCATTTTTATATCCTATATATTCAAGCTGCATTTCAACTTCAATTCTTGGCGATAATACAAAAAAATATTCACATTTATTTTTGGATTATGTCTATGGGGGGCCGTTAGGGACATTATTCAGAAATACTGTTCACATGTGAAACACACTGAAACCAAAATCATTTACAAACATGTACAAATCTCTCATATACGATGGAAACTTCTGAAGCAATGGAAACTGGACTCAGAGAGACACGAGGAGAGCAGGAACTTTGATGGCAAACACTGATGGTTTATTCACAAGACATGTTGTGTGACACGAATTGACACAAAAGATTCCAAACCAATTCTGAAGATCTCTACCCCAGACCCATATGTAGCTAGTTCTGAGAGAAGAATCAACATTGTGCATAACGAGATAAAACCAACACCTCTATCAGCTGACGCCAACAGGCAGGAACAGGGAGACAAAACACTGAGAGCACAGCAGCCAAGGATACAGGTGCCTGGGCTCAGTCAGGACAAAACTGATCAACTGGCTCAAAGTTATTGGCCTTGAAAATATTTCGCCAACAATATATACATATGAAACGCTCTCACACACACACACACCATATGAAAGGTTCCAGGATAATAGATCAACTCAGTGAAAGCACCGCCTGGTGACCAATCAGAGCTCAGTGTGCAGAGTCGACGTTCGCTACACACAGGGCCTCATCATATAACTTTGCGTGGGGCCACAAGTTGGCCAGGGGGTGCATGCAGAAGTATTATTTTAAGCAACACATTACTGATCTTAGATTTATTTTTCTGATAGAAAGGGACACCTAGTGGTTAAAGCACGTTATTGAATTGTATTATTTTTCACAAAAATGAAACCATCAATAGCAAAAACTGAATTATCTGTCATTAGTAAACCACTCAAATAAAAAGATCATAAGTGGTTTTGTTTTACATATATTTTAAGGATAATAATAGCAATGTAATTATGTGTCTATGACACTTATAACACTGATTTGAAAAACATACAGAAACAATTAATTCACTGCCCTTAATAAAGTATTTAAATATACATTTCAGGTGTGCTGTTTTGTTAAGTAATGGATATTGAATATGGAATAAAGGTTTTGACAAGACCTGGTGTAACAATAATCAAAAAGGACATTAAAAGAGCTCCAGATGTTAATTATCTGTTTTTGCAAAAATAAAGTACACAAAGTTGATTCTCGACTCTTTAAACACAGGTGATTGTATTCTTGTAAAAGTAACAATAACAAGCTCCATTTTCTATCTCCAGTCCGACTCATATTCATATGCAATGTGTTTGGTTCTATGCAAACTCAGTAATATCCATTGTGATACAGTTATAAGGCCTTCACATGAGACTGTCAGTGGAAATTAAAGGGGATCAGGAGCTCACGTCTTCTCAGAGTCATCATCATCATCATGTTCTCTGCTGCTGCTGCTGCTGCTGCTGCTGCTGCTGCTGCTGCTGCTGCTGCTGCTGCTGCTGCTGCTGCTGCTGCTGCTGCTGCTGCTGCTGCTGCTGGCAGCTGGAAGTGAGTCAACACTTATTATACTGCTGTTTAACAGGATAATCTGTCATATAACATTTTTTTTATTTGTACAGGTGTGAAGTGTGAACAGTTGACACAGCCTCTGTGACTGTGCAGCCAGGTCAACGTCTGACCATCACCTGTCAGGTCTCTTATTCTGTTTAATAATAATAATAATAAAATGCAATAACGTGCTTTAACCACTAGGTGTCCCTTTCTATCAGCTGTGCACCGTTATGGTGTAAATACAGCCTATCTACCAATTGGATCAAATATAAAAGTCAGCCGAATTAGTGTTGATACTGCAAGGAGACGTATTGTGTGAAAATAAATCTAAGATGTTGTTTAATTGCTGATATATGTATGATCCACTTCACGTTTTCAGTTTTGGCAGCAGTTCTCCTGTTTGTCTAGAAGTCTTCTCATCAGGGCTCTATAAATAGAGAACTACGGCAGATATGTAATATTTAATGCAGCCGAACCGTGTATTACAATGCCGTTATGTGATGACATTCAAAGAGAAAAGCAAGCACACTCAGAATAAAGTATTATTTTAATGTTTTCGGATTTCACATCGCATAAACACCATTTCCCAACGTGCATTGCGGCTAAACCATCGAATCACCGAGCTGAGGTCTGTTTCCGGTATTGTTTTTGACAGATGTATTTTGTTATACACACACATTCCTTCACATTTAAATTTACATTAAAGTATTTCGTGAGGCCATATAAAATGTTTTTAAATATGACTACTGTTCGAGTTGAAGAGTTTGTAAATTAACATGAACCGAAGCTGTTGCCTGGTAACACAAACGCACAACGTCACGTCCGTTAATTCCACATCCACAGATTAACATCGATTTAATAAATTATTGTAGCCTTTGTTTCTGCTAAAAGAGGTGTCGACCAGCAAATCAAGAAAATCGGCGAAATCGAGTGTGACTATTACAAATTAAATCATTATTTTATTAATATTGATAATAATAACAACCGACCGTCGGGGTAGCATTTGCTTGGCATTTCCGGGTATATCTCCACTGGTTGGGCCATGTTAACAATACTGTGTAATTGTCACGTTTGAAGGGACAACATCGTGACATCTTCACGTCTCCCAGCATGGTAAATCGTCACATGTTCACGTCTTGCCTTGATATCGGGTTGTGCTGACCATGTCCATGCCTTTATGACAACAGTGTACCAATCTTCTGATGGCTACTTCCAGCAGGATAACTCACCGTGTCACAAAGCTCAAATATTCTCCAACTGGTTTTGAACATGACAATGACTTTTACTCAAATGGCCTCCACAGTCACCAGATCCAAATCCTACAGAGCACCATTGGGATATGGTGGAACCAGAGATTTGCGTCATGGATGTGCAGCTGACAAATCTGCAGCAACTGCGTGATGCGATCAGGTCAATATTGAGCAAAATCTCTGAGGAATGTTTCCAGTAGCCTACCTTGTTTAATCTATGCCATGAAGACTTAATGCAGTTCTGAAAGCAGATGGGGGTCCAACCCATCCTAGCAAGGTGTACCTAATTAAGTGGCCGGTGAGTGTATTACTTAGGTCCATTTGTATTGTTAGTGTGTGTCTGTAGGAGTAAAGTCTAGACACATTCTTTGGATGTAAGCATTGGTTAATTAAACAGATCATGATAATAAGGGTAATCACCAAAACCTTATACCAGGGGTGGGGAACCTCCGGCCCTCGAGGTAACTCGGATCCGAAGGTGACTGATAACTGCTAATGGCATTTAGTTGAATACCAGACATAGTAAATGCAAAGCAGGATAATACAAAAAAAAGGTAATAAACAAGCCATTAAATCGTAATACTCGTTTTAATACGTTCACATGCATACAACACAATACAATAGACTTGTTAAGTCCTGTTCGTTGTCCTGTTTGTTGTCCTCATCACCGTCGTGTTCGTTGTCCTCATCACCGTCCTGTTTGTTGTCCTCATCACCTTCCTGTTTGTTATCCTCATCACCGTCGTGTTTGTTATCCTCATCACCGTCCTGTTCGTTGTCCTCATCACCTTCCTGTTTGTTATCCTCATCACCGTCGTGTTTGTTATCCTCATCACCGTCCTGTTCGTTGTCCTCATCACCTTCCTGTTTGTTATCCTCATCACCGTCCTGTTCGTTGTCCTCATCACCTTCCTGTTTGTTGTCCTCATCACCGTCGTGTTCGTTGTCCTCATCACCGTCCTGTTTGTTGTCCTCATCACCTTCCTGTTTGTTATCCTCATCACCGTCGTGTTTGTTATCCTCATCACCGTCGTGTTTGTTATCCTCATCACCGTCCTGTTCGTTGTCCTCATCACCTTCCTGTTTGTTGTCCTCATCACCGTCGTGTTCGTTGTCCTCATCACCGTCCTGTTTGTTGTCCTCATCACCTTCCTGTTTGTTATCCTCATCACCGTCGTGTTTGTTATCCTCATCACCGTCCTGTTCGTTGTCCTCATCACCTTCCTGTTTGTTGTCCTCATCACCGTCGTGTTCGTTGTCCTCATCACCGTCCTGTTCGTTGTCCTCATCACCGTCCTGTTCGTTGTGCTCATCACCGTCTTCAATGTCTTCCTCCATCATGAGAAAAGACGAGTCCGTGCCAATACAGCTGTAGGTGCTGGTGACTCTGCTCAGTTTCTGCTCCAGAAGATATTGATGGTGTAAAAGACAGCAGTGCAGTCCCCTGTATCCCTCTTCTGTTATATCGCTTGGAGAAACTAAAATAAAAAGACAAAATGACAGTCTATGTAAGGCAACTTTTAATTAGCATTGATGTTGGTTCCATATAAGCAATTTTAATGTTTAACTCCGAGGCTGTATATTAGCTAAAAAGATTTGTGATTCAGAAAAAATGCAATCATTACAGATGCTATTCAGTGACAGACGTTTGACACTGACCAGAAGGGGCAGTGGCCAATGTTATAAATCGGTATTTGTGGAACATACTTTGGTTCCTGATGTCGTCTTTTGTCTGATGAAGGAGGTGGTCCAGTTTGTCCAGTGCCTGCCTCAGATTTTGACAATGCTGGGTCATCTCCTTCACAATGATGACTTTCTCCTCTTCCATACGCCTGACCAGCATAACCTGGTCAAAAAGTCGCCTCTTTGTGCGCAGGTTCACCACTATAATGGAAAAAAAACAAAATATGACAACACAAACACAATGGTAAGGCTAATAAAACAAATAATATCTGTTTGCATTCAATCTTTTTAACTTAAATTGCCCAAAACCTTGAAATCTGGTAAAAAATGTCCAACCTCGCCGCTTGCTGAATTTTTTCAATTCTGTCTATGTTGGCAGAATTACATTCAGTATGTCTTGAGATTCAACATTAGTATGCAGTTCAGGGTGGTCAGGAAGGGTTTTACTGTTTCCATAGATGTGCCTGTCTCAGTGAGACTATAGCATGACTATTAAGACTTGATAGGGCAACATCATACAGACCTTTCAATATAATTATTTCAAAATGCTTTGTTGTGATCATGATGATTTGTGACACCTATGTTGACAGCTCTGTGTTACATTGGTGATTGTATTCTAGTACTACAACTGAATTTATGGAATATCTAGGGCAAACAAAAACAAGTTGTTTCTTACCATCTCCTTGCGCCTCCCAGGGCAGAATGACATCCTCAGACAGACTGCATGCTGCTTCTGTGTCAATTGTCTCTGTACAGGTATCAATGGTGTTGTACTGCAGTATCCTCTCTCTGAGTTTATTCTTGAGCTCTGTCAGTCTTCTCCGTTTGCGTTGCCTTGTTTGGTTGCTGTCTGTAAAGTAAAAATAATAATAATACTAACAATAACAACAACAAGAAACAAATATTGTTTCTAGATAACGTAATAATAAATACCATTTTGTCGATAGAGGTCGTGTTTCTTTCTTCGGAGGGAATAAATAATGTCATCTATTTCTCTCTGGAGCTCCTCCTGGCTGCTCTGGCCTCCATGTTTCTCTTGAAAACAGAAACAACCAGGTATAATCATAAAACATGAAGCCAAATGTTTGGAAATATGGAACCAAATCTATACCATAGTGATCATATAACATACCAGTGGCTGCCCATTGCTTGACCTCCAACACCCACTGCTCCGTGTCCTCCAGGGAGATGTTCAGCTCTTGCTTGAGACTCTCAAGATTGTCCACTTCAGTTTGTGCTCTCTGTGTAGTCTGGTTAGAATGTTTAAAAGCAGAAAGTGAATATGCGTTCCAGTTGGTTGAGAAGGTTGTTTTTTAATGAATTCCTTTATGAACATTAACTGACCAGACAACAACATGAAATGCTAAACACCTTCTCTTCAAGGTTGGCAAGTATCACCTTAGAGTCCCTTTTCTTTTTTTTAAAAGATCAAGCAGGATTAACATGATTATTATTATACAGAAATTCAGATGAATCAACCTATAGTGCTTAATTACAAACAACAGAACAGAGACTCTCTTGGCAGAGCAGTGTGCTATGGCAGCACCATCATAATGAAATTATTGCAGAATATATTTTATTCAACAACATGTAGCTAAGGATGGTGTTAAATTACTACAAGAAACTCAGATATTCTTAATGTACATTTTGAAATGCAGCATGGACGTCTTACTTTGACAAATCTCTTTGAGAGTGTCTTGTGGAGATTCTCCACCTTCCTGTGGTTCCATAGCATAGCCAGCACGGTTATCATATCTGCTCTAGCTGTAAACACAAAAACATGAGAATTCACATCAGCTTTACAATGTGACACTGCTTAAAACAATTTGTTTTCCTCTACCAACCTGATTTGGTCATGTATTTTGTTGTCAGAGCTGCCCTTGAGAGGAAGCTGTTAACCTGTTCCACTTCCTAACAGTATTTCCAGCACCTTCCTGGCTTCTGCCACCCCACTTCACCTGCTCAGAATCATAAACAATGAGATCTAGATATTTAGTTCAATATTATAATTTCTTGTACTGTACATCTTTAGTTAACATCAGTGTCAGGAGAAATTTCAGAAAGTTAAAATGTTCTGAGATTGAATTATGCTTTGAACTACAATGTCACAACTGCAGTTATTTGAAGCTCTGTTCATTCATTATTTCTACAGTGCGGATATATTTACTAAAACAACATAATGGGTTTTGGAAGCCTATCCTTGTGACAGTCTGTTTTGTAACAATTTTGTCAACATTTGTAACTATTACAATTATTCCACAGGCTTGAATAGAATATACTACATGATATTCTTATGTGCACTACAATTTCTAAAACATTTGAATCTAGTCACACAAATGTTTAACTTGCATACTGTACCTCGCATTTGCCTGTGTGGGCCTTGGCGTGCATTACAGAGAGAAAAGGTTTCATCTCTGTAAGTGGTTGGAGCTCTGGCAACTTTGCTGCCATCTTCTCCAAATAAGGCCAGTACCTGTAATGACAAAATCAATTAGCTTTTCCAGTTGCATGATGGCATAATAGTAAAAAGATAAATCAGGTCCTTAAAATTACCAGTACAATCCTTGTAACCAACATCAGCATTTATCCAAATTAATGCTTTTTTGCTTTACATCTACTGGATGTGCAAGAATTAAATAGATAACACGTTTCACACAAACACTTTGCAATAGTTATAACTACCTGCAGGCAACATCCATACAAAAGAATGTTGCATTCGCAACTTCAGCCAGCTCCTTCTGCAGGAACATTGGGTAGGCATATATTTCACCACGGTAGTGATTTAGGCCTTGTAGCAAGATGCCATGTCTGCACACAGCTATTTGCAGGCCTTCCTCGTCCACCTTGGCCCTGGACTTGTGTGAGGTTTCTCTGCAAGCTGTGAATGTTGCCGGTCCACAAACATCACGACCACTTTTCTGAAATAGACACAATCTGTTACATTTAACCCTGTGCTAAGTAAAATAAATAAAAGGGTTAGTGGGTTGAATAGATTCTTACAATCGTCATCTGGCTCCTGATTTTGTCGACAAAGGCAGACACTTTACTGTCCTGGGCAATGAACAGTCCATCAAATAGAGACGGTTCATCTGTCCTGCGAAATTCGAGAAAGAAATTGTAAGCAACATTATCATACATACATAAGTTTGATTGTGTCCTCTATTTAATGTGGGCAATTTGCTTTTGCTATCAATTTTTCATAAATGTGGAAAAGGCCTTTGTGAATTTGATCTGTAATTTTGTGTAAAGCCTTTTGTCACCATTATTTAACATTAGTGAAAAGTTTACTGACTTCTTGTAGAAAGGTACAAATAAAAGTACATCCTTTATATTGCTGGGCATGGAATAGGGCAGAGGAAGGCAGAGAAAAAGGTTCCTGGACAATTTAATACATTTATCATGAAGCGATTATATCCAAAGCTGGTTCTTAGCTCCAACATATCCAACTAACGTCAACCATTTAACATTTTAAAGTTGAGCTAACTTTACAGGCGTCATATACAATAATGTTTATGAATTGGATTGATATCATTATGTGTAATTACAAACCAACTATTGTTTTCTGATGGTCTACAAACTTTGGAAAATAAAAATAAATTAAAAAATTGGAAAGTTGGGGAAAGTTAAACATTTCAGCAAAGACATTCAGCTTAGTCAATAAAACAACAACTAAAATGAGAATATGATTTCACTGACCCTCTGGACTTCTTGAAGCGATAATGCTTTCTCTTGCCATCTACAGCAATAGCCAGCATGTCAGGTGTGCATGCTGGGCATTTAAAGGGCTCCACCAGGCACAGATCTTCTTGTCTGTAATTACAGAAGGCAAACTCCCGAAAGACTCTGTGGAGGTATCGCTACAGATTCTGCCTGTCTGGAAACAAGAATGGTATTCATTTTGTTAATTCAAAGTTTGGTATTCAAAAATCTTGAAAACCACATTTTATTCTTACCCTTCCTGTGGAAAACGATCGATGTTCAAGCATTTTTATAAATACTTGCTGGGATAATGCTGGGCTGGCCAATTTCATTTGCTCGAATGATGTGAACACATCAAACTTAAAAATAATTTTGCAGCTGTCGGTTGCTGGCCAGTATTTGTATCCAAGCAAGTCACCTATGCTCGGGGACCATTTGGTGGAACAAGTTGGACAGCACACAGAAGGCAGGCAAACGTTGTATGGACCTGAGAAAAAATATAAATGTGCAATTTGACAGGTATCTATGCAACGCAGGACAAAAGTATAATAGTAATCCTGTATTTTTGCTTGACCACATCGTCTTCTGGTGGCAACAAACCATTGATAGTCACCAACACGGTCTGCTTTCCTGGGATGATGGTGAAATCTTGGCTTGGACCACAGAAGCAGATTTGGGATGGTGGAGGAATTGGAAGCAGACACACTGTAGCAAAGACAATTTCAGAGATTCATATGCATGTTAGGACATGTAGTCAATACAAATTGAGACATTTGAATAGTTAAAGCAAACTTCCGACATGGTGAAAATGATGCCGCTGTATATGTAGTGCACATTAGGAAACCATGGTAAGGGAATATGTAATAAACTATTTGAACCCACCTTGTTCACAGAGTCCATATTGGCCACTTTCATCCACAACCACTAAGGATGTGGGAGGAATAGGTCTGTAAAACCCATCAATCATGGCTTCCCTGTCATGGAAGACATTTTTGCCATGGATAATTGGGTCACATGCCGGACAAAGAAAGGGAGTTCCTGGTGGAACACAGTCCAAGCACCGGACCACAGCATCAGCAGTTTTGCATTGGAGACAGGAACGTTTAGTGACAATCTCTGCAGCCAATTTCAAATTAAGGAGCTCTGGCATTGCAGCTCTGAATTTTTGTTCACGTTTCAACTGTCTTTGGGTCCATGTTGTTACAGTGGGTGTTTCTTCTGATGATGCAGGGACAGTGAGAGAACCCAACAGGTTTCTCAGTGTGAGAAGATGTTGATCTAAAATAACAAAATATAAAACAAATCATGGAATTTAGTTTAATTAAAAAAAGATATTCCATACTTATACATATTTGGGTCGGAAAACAATCGACCTATTTGGTCGTATTAGTTGGAGGACTTGTTGATGGCTTTTCACTTTAAAATGTATCATAAACACAGCTATTACATACTATAAACAATTAGCTACATTTCAAGTTGAAGGATAATTTAAGAATTCATTGTGCATACCAAGACTTGGGACCTGTAGAGGAATCTCATGCGTCTCCTCGACCTCTGGGGACTCCAGAGAGCTGGAAGGTTTAACTGCATAAACAAAGTACGATGATATAGGAAACATTATTGAAGACCAACGACATTAAAACTTAATGAAACACTAGAACTAGATGATATTGTACAGACCAGATCGATTCTTATTCCAATGTTGGGGTAGAATGTTCCCATCCAGGTCCCTCTTCCTCCAGGACATATTTGATCCTTGCGTTATTTTCTTTGGTTTCTTCGGTTTCTTCGGTTTCTTTGGTATATTAATATATAAAAGAGATTAGATATATCCCTTAATTGTTGCACACAAATCTTTGTAATGTGTGTGTCTTTTATCATTTGAGTAAATGTTATAATACATATTTGGATAATGTTGTACTTGCCTTATTTGCCAACTCATCTGAGAGGGCTTTCCCTGCCTCTAGCCATTCATTCAGTTGCTTGGATGCCATTTTTAAGTGAGGGTAAAAAGGGCAACAACAAACAAAGGATGAACTGACATACAGCGAGGGAGAAAAACAAAACAAAAGACAAGAAAATGAGAGGGGTGAAAGAGAGTAGGAAGAAGAATATGGCTCTGAAAAGAACCGTTGATTTTTTTATGATAATAGGCTATTTCAAATAATTGAATTGATGGATGACCTGAAAAATAACAAACAGATTAACTCAGATTAGTTGTGCTACCATGTCTTTTAATTGTTGTTTCATAAATAAACATTTGTCTAAATAAAACTACAGGCACCAATGTCAATCAAGTCCCAGGTAAATCAGTAATTACAGGGAAATATATTTCTCTTTTTAACTAGATGTGATGGCTTCACAAAACTTAAGTTGAATTAGCGAATGTTTAAAGTAGTAAAACTACTATGACCTGATTATATTAAAGTGTTGAACTTACCTTAACTATCATTAATGCAACATGTTAGGTGACATTTAGAAGAAAAAAAAGTGTGTGCATTATGAAAAGCGCCATGTAAATGTCTATTATTATTATTATTATTATTATTATTATTAAAATGCCATTTCCTTTCGCATTGTTTAAGGTCATATCATGTCCTGGTCTGGCTGAATATACATACTTTTGCCATTGTTATGTTTTATGTCACGTGCTACAAAGGGTTTTGTTTTTAGGCAAGATTTTAGCTCCTTTTGTGCGAAGGAGAAAACTCTCCCTCCAACTTGTTGCAGAAGAACCTTCTTATATTGCAATACATATCCGTTAGCGCATCTGTACCTAAGCTAAGTGCTAACCTTTGCAACCATGCTATTGCTAACAACAAGCATTCGCATATAGCTACTGCCTATGCCACGGGCCAGCCCTAAAACGTAAAACTGAAATATCGTGGTTAAACATGATTTGTAGACAAACGACAGGATTAATTAAAAGCGTAAACAAATCAAATGAAATACAGAAATCAGATTTACCACTTGTACAGCTCTTTAACAATACTTCTTCTTCTTCTTCTTCTTCTTCTTCTTCTTCTTCTTCTTCTTCTTCTTCTTCTTCTTCTTCTTCTTCTTCTTCTTCTTCTTCTTCTTCTTCTTCTTCTTCTTCTTCTTCTTCTTCCACTCGTCGCACTTTTATTGATGCCCAAGGTTAAAGTTCACGGGATTACGATCCGCCAGGAGTTGCTAAATTTAAAACATGACAATAGGTCGTAATAAACTGCTGCAAGAAATTAATAGACGGGAGCATGTTGTTTCTTACACGACCACTAGAGGTGCTACACTTTAAAAGCGTGGCTATGGGTCGTATTTGGGTCGGAAAACAATCGACCTATTTGGTCGTTTTTTGTAGGAGGACAGGCTGGATTTTTTACTTGTCCTTTGGTGTGCCTTGGGCACAACAAAGTTTGGGAACCACTGGCATAAATGATAGTGGGCGTCTGAGGGTGTCATTACTGAGAAATGTCAAAGAAATTCAAAACCTTACATTTTAAAACAGGTTTGCATTCCTCCACTTAAGGTGACGTTATCATTGGAAACAATAAAAACGAACTATTTTGATGTAGAATTTATAAATTGAATCGTTAGAGCAGAACAAAATGGTTGTATTGTAGCCTGAGTTCCGTGCAGCCCTAGTTTCAACAGGTGTAAACATGGTCCATATAATGTGAATACATGCAGAAGTAGACAGTAAGAGGCCCCTGACAGGCCTATTTGTTAAAATAGTAGGGGCTCTTCACTCTGCATAGTAGTATGAATAGCCTTAAAAAAACAAACAACCCACTCCGTGGTAACGAGAGTCATATTTCTGACCCATATGCCCTAAGTGAAGCCGTTAGTCTCATCTAACTGACCCAAGGGTTGGTGCTGGTGTGACAGTTCCAGCTTCCAGTTCATGGCTCGGTGGGGTGGAGCAGGCCCACGTGAGACAGTGTCAATGGCTGTATTGTTCAGTGTGAGGAGCGTCATTCTCTCTGGGAGCAGGAAATGGTGTCCATTCTCGGACCAAACCATTAATGTCATGTAGAGCAGCCATAGCATCTCTGTGACTGCACTCAGCCGGACTGTAGCAGGGTAGAACTGGGTGACTCTTAGTGAAGCTGTCCAACGCCATTAGACAAAATGGAACCACGTGCTAACAAAAGGACACAGGGTCATCAATGTCTCTCTTTACCATTGGCCTAATCATAAACAAATTAGTGGGAAAAATGTGGAACACTAATCCATCATGTGGAATGTTGAGTTAATTTAAATAATTACTTATGGGTTGAAATCAAATGAACATTAACATTAGAACCAAAGTCAGTTAACAAATTGGACTTGCACATATCAGTAATCAATACACCATTTTTCCAGCTCCGTGATGAAAACGATAACAGGCAGGGATGCAAACTTGTCATCAATAAAATATAATTGGGGTATGGACAGGGTTGCTAACTTTGGGTACCTGGCTGGAGTGAGATTTTGATATCATGGGTTTAATTACACACATGCGCACGAAGCGACTGCTATCGTGTCCGTAGCGGGACCTTAGCATATACTTAGGATATATATATATAATATATATATACAAATACACAATATTGGACACAGACTATAAAGGGCACACAGTTTCATTAAATAATGAAAGTCAAACACATGTTTGTTTCCACTGTTTTATTGTGTGCCTGTCGCGATAAGCAACTTATTGACTTATCGGCTCCCGAGTATTTGTGTTAGATAATCTATGGTAGGGCTAACCCATACAGTGGTGGGGCTCAAATCAGTATTTGAAATGTAATTACATACACGCTATATCGCCCCCTTGTCAGTGAAACGCCACGCGTGAGGTTTAGAATATTTCCCTGTCTCAATCCAAATTGAACTGTATGAAATTAAAATAAAATAAAAACATTTGTCTTGTAGTAAATAAAAAGGCGACCTGGAGCCAATCCTGCCATTTCCTCACAAGTGAAAGAGTTCACATGCTGAAAACCCAACCCCCGCAGGGGGTCTGGGGGGATTCTCCCCCAGGAGATTTTTGAAATACTAACATAAAATACACATTCTCTCTTTTAGAGGAAAAAATAAATCCATCTATAACTACGCGACATATTTAAATGAAGCTGAAACTGCTGCTCCTCCCATAGGGAAGAGGCTGTGTGAATTACTTCGAATTACTTTGAAATTACCCCATTGTTCTTTGTGTCAAAATGGAAGGTTTCTGGCTAACGTTAGCTTAGGTACTCAGATCTTGTTCTTGAGTACAAGTAGAAGTACCAGAGTGTAGGAATACTAAGTTACAGTAAAAGTACTGCATTCAAAATGTTACTCAAGTAAAAGTATAAAAGTATTGTCATCAAAATATAGTGAAAATAGCGACAGTAAAAGTAGTCGTTGTGCAGATTGGTTTATTCCAGAATACTATATATGATATGTTTTATAATGATTGATCATGAAAGTGTTCTCAAAGCTGGTAAAGGAGAAGCTAGTTTGAATGACTTTGTATACTGCAGGGTAGCTGGTGGATTCACTCCAGGTGGAACTAAAGTCTGATTAAACACTTGATTAGATTTCACATCATTCATCCACATCTGAAAGTAACTAAAGGTATTAAATACATGTAGTGGAGTAAAAGTACACCATTTACCACTGAACTGTAGTGGAGTAGAAAAATAAAGCAGCAAAACATTTTAGATACTCAAATAAAGTACCCGTATCAACAGTACTGGCAAAATTATAAACTGACTGCTGCAATTAGATGTTCCTCTTTGTGCTGTGGTCATAAAACCTCCAATGGGTCGCGCCGTGGTCTGCTTCAGATTATCTTCTCCTTCCAGAGGTCACGCCTGTCTCTGACCCCGTGTCTTGCGTTTTATTTTATTTTCTTCTTCTGCAGCACCAAGCAGAGTATAGAAAAGGATGTTGAACTATATTTAAAACTGTAATTGAACTTCAACTCATATCCATTATCTGATTCCAGTGGCCAGTTGGAAACAGATAATGACAAAGTTTTCATTTTGCATCAATCGTGCAAAAAGGTTCAATCACCATTGTGTCTAAGTCTTGTCTTATCTGCTTTGTTTCGGAATGTGTTCAATACATTAGGTTATTTTATTTTCATTATTACCATACAATACATAGATTAAGAATAAATGAAACAAATAATATAACATTGACCTATTTGAGCAGACAGATGACCCGCAGTTATGCCTCTGAGGTTCCCGGGTGTAAAACAGAGGCTTTTTTGCTATTTATTTTCCTTTTGCGGAAATTTAGATTCATTTTACCTTGGCTGTGGACTGATTAATTTATTAGTTGTTACAAAAACATGCACAAGACGGCAGGTATACAAACAAACACGAAACAATTATACAAACAAACATGAACCCGCAACAAATATCAGGTGACAGCTAAACTCATCCAGTTTAATTTTAATCCGAATTAGGGAAACTTCAGCGGGGGTAGGGAAAATATCAGTACTTATTTTTACTTATTGTTTTTTTTTTGTTTTTTTTTTAAACAAAATCCAATTCAATAATCCGTAAGTTTATTAAACACAGTGTGAATGTAATATTCTGCCACCACCCTTCCCATTTAATAGCTCAATTTAGTTCTTGAGCTTATGGTGTGATTAACAGAAAATACAAGTCTGTGTTGTTAAACATTAATTCAGTTGATGAGCAATAAACGACCTTATTCTCAATCAAAACCACTATGCAAATGTAGTGGTAAAACTGCTCAACCGACCGAGAGCAGAGATATTAATTAATTTAATTAATTCTAAGAACGGAATCTGCTGAAGAGTAATAACCACATTATTCTCAATCAGC